ACCTACTGTCTAGGGGCTAGTTTCATCACAGTTAAGTTCTCGCTTCCTAACACCACTCCTCTCCTCCAGCCCATGGACCAGCAGGTCATTTCTAACTTCAAAAAACTCTACACAAAAGCAGTGTTTGAAAAGTGCTTTGAAGTGACCACAGACACTAAGTTGACCCTAAGAGAGTTTTGGAGCAATCACTTCAATATCTACAGCTCAGTAAGCCTTATAGGCAAGGCTTGGGAGGGAGTGACTTCCAGGTCTTTGAACTTTGCTTGGAGACAATTGTGGCCAGATTGTGTCCAAAACTGGGATTTTGAAGGGTTTGAGGCTGACCCTGACCCTGATGACCCTCTGCCTGTTGTGGACTCTCTTGTGGCATTGGGAACACCCTGGGGCTGGAGGTGAGTGGCGAGAATGTGGAAGAGTTTGTAGAGGACCACAGCGAAGAGCTAACCACTGAAGAGCTGGAAGAGCTTCATCTGGAACAGTATCAGACCACAGCTCAGGAACTTGCTTCAGAGGAGGAGGAAGAGAGAGTGGATGAGATGCCTTCTTCAAAGATTAAGGAGATTTGTGCCAAGTGGAATGATGTCCAAATGTTTGTGGAGAAGTACCACCCTGAGCAAGCTGAAACAAGCCATCTTTGTAACAAGTTCAGTGACAGGACCATGTTCCATTTTAGGGAAATCTTAAAGAGGCACCAGAAACAGAGGACTGTGGACAGTTATTTTGTGAAACAGGGGTCCAGTGACTCAATCTGGTCCTAGTGGCATTAAAAGACAGAGAAGGGAAGTAACCCCAGAGAGGGCTTTGATACCTAAAGTCCTTGTGGAGGGGGATTCCATTCCAAGCACTAACCCCAACTCACTCACTCTCCTCCTCTCTATCTTCCAAATGTCATCACCAATCTTCAATAAAGGTAAGTAAAAATGTTATTTTATATGTTTATTTAAATATTACTACTTGTACTATGTACATATATGTATGTATGCTCTGTGTAAAACAATAATGTAATCTCTATAAGATGTATTTTTTTATGAATATTTTTGGGTTTCTGGAACGGATTAATTATATTTCCATTATTTCTTATGGGAAATATTGGTTCGACTTTTGAACATTTCGACTTCAGAACTAGCTCCTGGAACGGATTAAGTTCTAAACTCGAGGGTCCACTGTATGGCGTCACTCGTACAAGTCATCTGGTTACCACATCTTATATTTATGTTTATTTATTCTACTGTGGGGTGTATATCATCATCTTTATATGTTACATATCATGTTTATTATATAATTTTGAAAAAATATCATAATGGATTAAGGAAAATGTGTACATTAATGTAATATACGACATCTAATGAGACTTTGTGATTATCATCATGTACTAATATGGCGTATTGAGACATAAGACACTCTTAGTGATTTTAATGTGTACCTGCATGCCAGCACAGTGTAAGTTTATTTAGGTACAGGTATACATAAGTATAATTATCAGAGTATATATAAAATATCAAATAACTTTTAAAAACACTTCATATTTTGGAGTTTCCAGACATAATGGAGAGAGATGGTGCTCACGGAGAATGTAAACAAATCAGGTGGGGCACGGTGATTATCACAAAGTCAGGTGGGGGGAGCCATATAGCGAGTTTTGGTCATAATTTGAAATGTCCATATTAGTGGAATGCCGTAAAGCAGAACGCCGTAAAGCGGGGCTCTACTGTATACTCAACAGGCACGTTACTTTATAATTTTATGCTCTTTTGTCCTATTTCTCTTGTACAAAGGAATTTTGCATGCTCTGTCAATCCTTAGGTACCTTAACTTCTTTCAGACATATGCTAAAATACATCAACCACTCCAGTGCTATATCCCTACCTTCTTTAAACATCTTTGTCATAATCCTATACATCCCTGCTGATTTACCCTCATTCATCCTACCCAATGTCTCACACACTCACTCATCAAAATATTCTCTCCATCTTCCCATTATCTCCACTTCCTATTTAACAAATCCCTTCAGTTGTTCTTGACTTGCAAGTCCATTTGTTTCCCAGGCTTCCACAATTTATTAATCTCTTAAAACTGCTTCTCAATATCAGCAAAATTTGCTGGTAAAGACTCATCCATTCTCTCATTGGCTCTTTTTTTCAACATCACACTTTTAACTTCTCTCTACCTCTCCATGTACTCTACCTTCCATATATCATACTGGCCTAGTACAAACCTCTCAAATGCTAATTTTTCTCTCTTACCACGCTCTGTCTCTTCATTCCACGAATTATTCCTTTTTTTTTTTTTCAACCGCACCCACCTTCTAATACCCACAAACTTTTGCTGTGCACTCTTGCACTGCATGCCTAAATCTACCCATACCTCCAAATTCCTCCTTAATTCCTGCACTTTCTCTATCCCACCTTTCTCCCAACAGTTGATGGGTAGATGGAAAGATACAAGCAACTATTTAGCTACTAATACAGTCTAACAAACTGTTAACAAAAATAAAAATCCAAATGTTACCCAGGACAATGCTGAATATTATATTCTGGTAAAAAAAAAATGCAATAAACAAATTAATAAAAATAACCCACACTTTGGAGAGGAAACTTTAAAGAAGTCACAATACAATACTGAAGCTGGAATAATTCATCAAGAACCCACACTTAGAAAAGGGCATGATAAAAGAAACTTCAGACGATGTTTCAATCTATCTTGGACCATTACCAACTTAATAAAGATCCACGAAGCACCAAAGAAGTCTAGTGGAGGTTATCTGTGAATTATATAATGTTATGGCTACTACCACCAGCAAAACTAAAATAATAAAAACAGAAAATGCAGTACACCTCAAAAGCAAGCAGTATGCCTCCAAAACCAATAAAGTAAAATTAATCACTTCTCCCATTTTCATTGCAGCAAACTGTACATCATTTGCAATTATCTATGATAATAATCATTTAGACTTGTCTGTAATAAGTATATTCATTTTATATTATTTACAATTACAGTGGACCCCCGCCTAACAATATTATTTCAATCCAGAAGTCTGTTTGGGTGCCATTATAGACCGAATTTGTTCCCTTAAGGAACATTGTGAATTAGATTAGTCCGTTTCAGACCCCCAAAAATACACCTACAAAAGCACTTACAAAAATACACTTACATAATTGGTCGAGTTGGGAGCTGATCGTTAGGCAGGGGTCCATTGTACTATAATAATAATCTATAATAAATAACCAACTACAGTATAATCAAGTGTGTGTGCGCTGACAAGTGGTCAAAATAGTGGCGTCTGACTGACCATTCACAGCAAGTTCAATGTGCCGACAACTATACATTAGACATTACACACCCAAGCTGCACATTGAGAGAAAAGCACACAATGACACTTCGGTCTGACTTGGGCCCTGTGGCCTGGTGGCAAATGCTCTTGCTTCACACGGTAAGGGTCCAGGTTCAATTCCTGGTAAAGGGTGGAAACATTGGGCAAGTTTCTTTTCACCAGTTATCTGTTCATCCATCAGTAAAATGGGTACCTGGGTGTAACTGACTGGTGTGGGTTGCATCCTGGGACAAAACTGACCTAATTTGCTCAAAATGCTCAGCATAACAAGCGGCTTTCTATATAGTAGTATAGCCTCTCCTCACTTAACGATGGAGTTCCATTCCAAAGACCACGTCAGTAAATGAATTTATTGCTAAGTGAGGGGCATACTATAATGGTAGTGGGTTTGTGTCAACTATCTTTGATATTGTTTTAATGCCACCTCTGTACCACTTACAACATTTCTGGTATATTTTTAAATGTTTATACATTAGTGTACTGTATACTGTGATAAACAGAATAGAGAAAATCAACTCTAATATACATTATTTAGGTATGAATACTGGTCAGGCAGCCTGTCGTAAGTCCAATTCGTCGGTAAACGAGTACATTGCTAAGTGAAGAGAGGCTGTATGTCACTGATGTCAGCTAGGTCTGTATACCTTGTACATGCACTTGTAGAAATAATTATTATATTATATTATTATTATTATTATTTACAAAAAGTCACACTTAGTATGACTTCGTAAATGGTTAAAGTCAGACCAAAGCATCGTCATGGGCTTTTCTCTCTGTGCAGGTTGTTTGTGTGTTGTTTCAGTCAAGATACTATGCCTTTTCATTCTTTATAAACATTAAACATGTCTACTCAAAGCACTCTAAGATAAGGATGATTAGATAAGGTAGTGTTACTTCCTCTGTACCATGACAAAAGCATTGGAAGCATTTTCAAGTAGAAGAAATAGTAGTAGAAGAAATACAGAAGAAGTAAAAGAAACAATAGTAGAGAAGTCATAGTAGAGAAGTTGTAGTAGACTTACAAGTAGAAGAAATAACAGCAGCTTGAAATAAGCCTCAAAGTGGCAGAAATATCTGATTTTTGGTGATTTTCCTGAAAAAGGGTAGGGAATCTCCCACATCCCCAGTCTGTTTAAAGGGCTTTTATTAGGTCTGCTTCAATTACTGGGATAGTCTAAAACATGACTAATCATTCTTACTTATAAGTTATTATCTGAGGAATAAGATAAACCTTCAGTTTTTTGTATAGGAGAGGCCTGTGGATGTGATTAGTGAGAAGAGGAAAGGATCCTTTAGTGGCTGAAATGCCTATGGTGTTTATTTTGAACTGTTTTAAAATTGGAATTTGTTGAATTTTGTGTAAAATTAACCAAACAACAGACATCTGTGCACTTTATAGGGTAGTTTTGAAAGTTGAACGAAAGTTTCTTGTGCTCAATAGATAGAATGGAAGTCGTACTAGTGAAATAGCTAATATTTCTTCTCCCCAGACCACCAGATTGGTGCCTGCATAATTATATATGTTTCCATTAAAATTTGCATATTTATTTCAGATAAAGATTCTTTACCATTTCAGGGGTTATGACAGTGAAAGGGGTAAAAACCTTCTCCAGTAAAATTTCTTTTGTATCTATATCATGTTTCCTACTATTTGTAGCCTGCCTCTCACCTTTTCCGCAGCTTCAGGATTATCTGGATTTTTATCCGGGTGATATTTGAGTGCCAACTTCCTGTATGTTTTCTTTATTTGTTCTGTAGTGGCATCTTTCTGAATGCCCAACGTCTCGTACAGGGAGTCGCCTGTCGTACTGAAAAAAATATTCTAGGTATTATGTAGTGCTAAAATTTATGGTGCACATTATGTACATGAAATTTAAAAAAATAAACAAGAACCTCATTATTGCTAACTACCTGTTGCTGCCTAAATCAACTCCATAGTTCCTACATGACCATAAACACCACAGAAAATATGGTACGGAACACTTATTTACAAATGCTGTACAATGACATTATTCTTAAGTTCAAACTATCCTTTTAGGAGTTGAATACACACATTTTTATTTTTGTGTTCTAGTTTTGAAGGGAGAAAGATAAAATGTAATTACTTTAGAGCATGTTCAATAAATATGTTTCTGCCCTGGGACCTCAGTACATAACTCCAAATGTTCTGGTTTTGTTTATCTTTGTCACTGGTCAAGTTCTAAGGACTTCACATTTTTTCAAGCAATTTAACAAAATTTGAACTGCAGCACATACAAACAAATTGATCTCAAGTGTTTTTGTAGGTGTTTTTATCACAATGAAATGCTCTAAAGATTTCAAAGCATTATTGTGCCAAATCTGAAGCACACAAGATGACGACACTACATTCGACTTCAAAAGCGGTGTGGAAAAAAAAAAAAGTGCTTGCAACAATGGTAAGTTAGGTTAGGCAAGGTTTGTCAGGAAATGAGTGTTTCCTGATGTGGGTCTAAGTCATCTGATGACCTGCCACTGGAGCTTTTGGTCATCTGCACCAATTCAGGAGAACTATCTGCTTCAAGTTTCGAACTAGTATATGCTGCATCCACCACTTAGCAGACATATAAGCCCTTTTTCTTCAATGGCCATTAGGTGTGATAAAGGTCAAAGTCAAAAAAACTTTTGCCTTACAGATGTCATTAGTATATTTATTACAATTCAGTCCAGCCAGGTGAATGGTCTCTGACTCTTTATCCCCATTACTTGCTCTAAATAGCCTAAGTCAGACTAACATGCCTATGTACAAGGCCAGACAGATACAGTAAACAAATTAATTACTATCAGTCCATTTTACTTTTGTACATTTTTTACATATTAACTATCATTACTTGCTAAAAACTTGTTTTAATACCACATTTACTATCAGTCCATTCTACTTTATACATTTAAACACTGTATTCTCTTAGTATAGTTCCTTACTTTTGAATACAGTGCAACCTCGGCTTACGAATTTAATCCGTTCCGTGAACTTGTTCGTATCCTGATTTGTTCGTATGCTGGGTCAATTTTCCCCATTTAAATTAACTGAAATGCAATTAATTTGTTCCAACTGAATTCCTGCTCTCAGGAGGCACGACAAAATAACCCTATTATCAACTCTACGGCTTATTTATCTGTCACAATTCATCAAATATGACATAATAAACAATATAAATAACATAGTAACCTGACATACACTCTAGAATTAACCCTTTCAGGGTCCGTCCCGTAGATCTACGGCTTTGCGTTCAGTGTCCAAACCATAGATCTACGTCATGAGCTCAGCTCACTCTGATAAACTGTGAGTGGTACACTTGGGCCTAGATATGAGAGAATACATCTATGTGGTATGTGTGCACCACATAAAACAAATCCTGCAGCACACTGTGTATAATGAGAGAAAAAAAACTGAAACCAAGATTTTCGATTAAAACAGCAACTTTGCAGTGTTTTTTCGTATGTTTTTATAGTTGTATTTGCAATTTCTTGGTCTCATTTGATAGAATGGAAGACATATTACAGAAACAGAGATGATTTTGATTGGTTTTAGCACCGGAAATTGGCTTGAAACTGAGCTCAAAGTAGCGGAAATGTTAAATTTTTGTCGATGTTCAAGAGTAAACAAACGACCTCACACGTCTAATACATGCCAGCTGGTGGATCTAATACACATTCACAAATGTGGTGATGATATTTATACAATTATTACAATATTGCATAACAGTAAATCTTCTATTTTTTGGTGTGAATAAAAATTCATTATGTAAATAAAAAATAAAAATGGGATTTATTTGTAAAGCCTCAAAACGTAACTAATGAACCGAGGAAATGTTAGTTTAGTGCCAGGAATGCCTACATTGTTTATTCTGGATGCTATTTTGAAATTGGAATATTTTGAACTTTGTGTTAAATTGGCCAAATTACCAATTTCCGATCACTTTATTTTGTAGTTGAAACAGTCGACTTGGCGATTTCTTGTGCTCAATCGATAGAATAGAAGTAATACTAGTGAAATAGCTAAGAATTTGGTCGACTGGAATGATGTAATTGGCCTAAAATGGAAGTCAAAGTCGGCAAAATCGCCAATTCGTAAATATCGCTGACACATCAAAATTCGCGAGAGCATAATTTCGTCAATTTTCCATCAAATTTCGTACTTTTTGTTTTATTACCTTCACAAAAAGATTCTCTACCATTTCATAAGAAAAAATAATTTTTTTTTTGGAAAATTCTTGGACACTGGTGCGTGACTTCAGATTTTGGCCTTGGACCCTGAAAGGGTTAATAAAATATGTCATTACGTGGACAGCGGAGGGAGGAGGATTGTGGCCATCAGAGGTGTTATTATATGAGAAAACAGAGTTTGAGAGGCTAAATTAGATCTGGTGTAAATACGACATTTACATACCTTGAAGAAATACAGAGCAGCATATCCTGTCAGGAGTTCACACTTTTCTTAAGAACTGCTATGTGCAATTTTAATGTTTATCTCGCTACACTACGCATCTCCTGTGAGCTGTTTCTCCATCAACCATGGCCACAGCAGCTTTTCCATCTTTTCATTAACAGAGATCCACTTCTTAGAAGTTACTGTAACACCCTTTGCTGGTGCCATAGCCTTTAGAGACTCCTCCTGCTTTAGTATTGTACATATAGTAGAGGGGCTACGCTTGTACTCACTCGCCAAGTCGTCAACCCTCGTACCTAGTCTGTGCTTATCAATGATTTCTTGCTTTAATTCCATGCAAATCATCCTTTTTTTCTTCTCGGCACTGTCCTTTGCACTTGCTTTCTTAGGACCCGTGATTAGAAGAAAGAAATCTGACGAATTAACTGCACGAAACGTAAGGAAATCACGAGAATTCCTTGCACCACGAGGGTAGCTCTGGAAGCATATGTGCACCGATGAGCATTGTGGTAGTGTTGTCAAACTAAATTATATGCAGTACGTACATAGTATTATTATAATTATTATCGTACTATTACATATTATATTATTATAATGTTGTTATAATATACATAATTATTATGTATTATCATTATTAGTATGTACATATTATAATAATAATTATTATAACAATAATACAATATAATAGCAATAATAATAATAACAACATCAATAGGGAAAAACTTAAAAATGCTGCCAGTAGTTGGCGCCACCATCAGCAAAACATTGGTTACCACAATTAGTACACTTTTCACCTGTCTAGACTTAAGTAGTCTATTAGTATTAGGTTAAGTCTTCCCAAAATGCCTTGGCTTGATAGTAGCTTTCTTTGCTCCAATCATATTATGATATGTAAACACACGGTAACCTTTACAAAGAAAAAATATTTTATTTATTTTATTTATTTATTTAAGGAACCTCTTTTGAGGGGTAAGTTTGCATCCTGAAATTTCCTTCATACCCAGAAGCAAAAAATCGACCAAACAACGGTTTGTATCCTGAAAAATTTGCATGGTGAAGCGTTCATAAGCCGAGGTGCCACTGTACTTTGTACTGCCTTTATAAGCTCTAATATTACTACCAGTGCAATATTAAATCCTAATAGTTGTTAATAAAAATCTATTACATAATTGTAATAAAATTATTTTTTTTATTTTTTAATTAACATTACTTAAATTTTGTTCAACACCATATTTACCATCAGTCCATTTTACTTTAGTACAATTGATCACTATATTCTCTCCTTATATTTCTATTTTTATTTTTAATTTACCATTATTTGCTTACTATTATAAACTATTATTATAGAACTGATAACCAGTGCAATATTATCCTGTCAACTTGTGCCATAATAAGAGTTAGCATAATCCCTGTATTTTTTAATTACTTACTTTAATCTATTATAAACTATTATTTTCATTTTCTCTTATTTTTTTTATAACTACCATTACCTGCAGACTTAATTCAAATATCATTTCCATATTAAGCAATTTTATTGTGTTCACCAAACTTCTTTTCTAAATCTACAACTTTTGTCAAACTCTAAAACTATAATTATTCAATATTAACCCTTAAACTGTCCAAACAAATTTACGTTCACATGTATAGTGCTCCAAGAGTAGATCTACGTTTTTTTACATATTTTCAAATACTATAACAAAAAAAAAAGTAGATCAAAGTTTTTTTTACACGTTTTCAAATGTACAAAAAAAAAAAATCTACGTTTTTTACTATGTACTTTCAAATATGGAAAAAACGTAGATCTACGTTTGGACAGTTTAAGGGTTAAATCATCAAATCTGTACCATATTGAGAGTAAACTGTATCTCTGTATTTTTTTAAAACTACTTGTAACAAACCATTAGCTAGTAAGATGAATTAGTTTAGCATCATAATTATTAACTTTAACATAATACTTTATTCAAAAGTCTGGTTGTAGAGTCACTCAATCTTATGATTACAAGGATTGATCCTGCTATCAACCTTTTATTAAATGACATACACGAATCCAACAGCAAGTGTAATTATTTTACTGAAGACCAAGTAAAGACATTACTCAGAGCCAACAATAACATAACTATCTTTAATTACAATGTCAGATCTTCGAGGACACATTACGATGACCTCACAGCATTACTCAATTCCCTGCATACCAGTATATCAATCATCACACTCACAGAAACATGGCTAAAGCCTGGTACTACAGATGTCTCTGCCATTCCTGGTTACACAGCCATACACAACTGTAGGACAGAACAGCAAGGGGCTGGAACAGCTATATACTACTCAGATCAGCTTGAATGTATCAATAATTATTGCACAAGGGATAAACATGGAGAATATATTATAGCTAAATTTAAATCAGAAGACCTGAAAAAAAACTTCACAGTGATAAACATCCACAGAGTACCATGGTCAAACATTTACCATTTTAGTGAAAAATTAGGAAACATGATAACTGATGCACATAGGAACAAAGACAACTTGCTGCTCACAGGAGATTTCAACATAAATCTACTACATGACCAGGACCCACAAGTAACCAAATTCACAAACACTATGAGCAACTGCTTGTTGCTACCAACAATAACAAAACCTACAAGAATCTCTGAGACTAGTATCTCCTTATTAGACCACACCTGGACTAACACCATATCCCCTTTAAAATCAGGCATAATCACAGACAACACCACAGACCACTACCCTACCTTTCTCATAACCAACGTAGGTAAATTGCCCCAAGACACTACTAAAGTTGCCTTCAGACTGCATAAAGAGACGGCTGTTAATAACTTTATAACAGCTATGAATAACGTCGACTGGCATAATGAGCGTGAAACACATACAGATACGAATGAATGTATTAATAATTTTCTGAAAAATAAAAAAAAAAAAAAAAAAAAAAAACACTACCTTTATAACAAGCATTGCCCTAAAAAACTAAACAGATCACAGCTAAGAGACTGAACAGCCCCTGGCTAACACCCAGCATCCTTAACCCTTTCTGGGTCCCAGGGCCCTCTCCAAGACTTTGTTCTCAGGGTCCACAAATTTAAAAAAAAAAAATTATTTTTTCTTATGAAAAGAGAGAATCTTATCCCGATCATAATGACACCAAAAGTATGAAATTTCATTAT